GATGTTGAAGCTTAAATCAGGACATACCGGTTTTAAAGAAAAAAATAAGGAAAAGTAGTAGGTCTTGTAAACAGGCCACAGTGCAGACAAGAAGAGAGAACACTATTGTGTGTGAGTATGAGTTCAGAAGGATTGTGAATCCTCTTGAGTTTGTGAAAAGGTCGTGCCTTTATAGTGTGAAAATCACGCAGAAATAAGGCAAGAAAGCAGTTAAGGAACTGAATATCAATTAAGAATCAATCACACAAGACTTCCTTTAATTAAGGAATTCAGAAACGGGTAAAAACTATTTGAGGAAAGAATTAAATAAGCACTTTGTGCAAAGTAGGCAATTAGGGGTAAATACATAGAAGTTTTATTTAAGTACAGAGTTTTGAAATACGCGGTTGTACAATTAAGGTAAGAACATCAATTAGTAGCCAGTAAATCAGAGGTCAGAGATTTCGTATGAATGAACCAAGTCAGAAAAGCTGAGAAAGGTTTTTAACTTAAGTCGAGTCACTGGGAAAATCAGCAAACAAGGAAAGAAAATCAATCAGACCTATTTAGAAGGGAGTCTGAACTAATCACAAATTTGAAAGCCATTTTAGAAGGAAGTTCATCACATATAAATAGCATATAGACATGTCAAGCATGAAAGAAGATGTCGTGTCATTGTTAAATCAGTAGAAGAATCCAGTGTAAAAGAGCTTAGGAGAGTTTAGCAAAAGTCAGAGTCGTATGAAAGACAAGGATGTCCCAACTCAGTTCAGAGACTCGAAATTGGTCTGAAGATTTGGGGGTTTTGAAATAAAACCCTAGTTCAGGCAAAGCACATAGCCAAACTTGGAAGAACCCCCTAATTCTAGGGTTTCCACCATTAATCGAGTGCAAAGATGAGAGGGCAAGTAATTAAATCGAAATAGGTTCAGAGGTCTCAGAAAAAAACTGGAACTTCTAACACATTTCTTTCAGCAACAGAAACTCATGAGAAACATGATAGAAAAGTAACATGCAGAACACAGTTGAAGAGCTCAAAGAAAACAGAGTAGAAGAAACTAATTTGAAACATAATGGGAAAATTGATAAGAATAGTAGGAGGAGCATATTAAGACGTTTTTAGAAGAAGCTTAACCAGAACTCAGTAGGTGGAACTTAATAAGAAACACTTAAGAACATAGTAAAGGAAGATACAGTAGGAAAAACATGCAAGAATACAGTATAAGAAAATACAGTAGAAGGAGCATACAAGAACATGGTAGAAGAAAATACAAGAACATGGTAGAAGAAAACACAATAGAGGCAAATACACACAAAAAGAAGTAGTAGAGAAACATTTAAATACTCTCAGAAAAACCCTAGATCGGAAAAGAAATGGTTTTGAAAGTAGTTTTTGAAAGAAAAGCCAGGAAAATCGTTTAAAATCTTAAGGAAAGCATGGATATGGAACAGATCTAAAGAGATCAGAAAAACCTCAAAACTAGGGTTTTCAGAGGAACCCAAACGACGAGAAAGGCTTGGATCTATGCAAAAGGAGTCGAGACCAGGCTTCGAAATAGACATAGCTTGCCGGAACGGGTCCGGAGATGGCCGTGGAACTCGAATCGACAGAGGTCTGGACATAACCCTTCATGGTCGAGTCATAGAGCTTCAGTCAACCAAACGTGAGGAGCCATAGGTGGCTTGGTGAGTGGTGAAACCCCCATGGATCTGGGTTAGAGGGTGACCGGTGAAGATGAACAGGATTCATCGGTGAGGAGGGGGTGGGGAAGGTTCTAGAGAGAACCAGAGGTTAGAGAGATAGAGACGAGTGAGATGAGTGGGGGAAAAATGAGGGGTATTGGGGGGTCGTTTGGTTTAATTTAGGTAGGTTAAACGGGGACCGTTGATCATTCAGATCAACGGTCCAGATTGGATGGGGTAGGTGGGTCGGGTAGGATAATTGGGCTGGGTATTGGATTGGTCTAATTTGGGTTGGGGCTTGGGTTTAATTAGGCCAAATTAGAAAGCCAAATGTGGCCATAAGTTAAATAGCCTCTTTTTCCCTTTTAATTTATAAAAATAATAAATAAATTTCTGAAAACAAATTAAGAGTACTAAAATAACTTATAATATATAATTATCAATTTAAAAATATAACATCTCATTTTATAAATATGAGACGGATTTAAACTTGAAAATGGCCAATATTGCAATTATGCAATTTTATCCTTAAAAGTACCAAATAAATTTAAAATAAAATGTGTGAAAAATGTCTTAGCCATATTTTAGTACAAACGTGAGAATCCAATAAATGAATCACCAAAAAATAATAATTTTGGGGACCATCATTGGGTTTTTCTTGATAAAATAGGCAGTAAATTGATTTAAAAATCTTTGAAAAATTAAGGAAAAATAATAGGACCTTGGGATATACTTATATATGCCTATATAGGCTATTTTGAGGGTATTTTGCATATTTAAAAAAATATAGGGAAAATTGGGTATCAACAGTCCTTAGACGAGCGTGAGGTTGAAGAAGCTTTATCGCCTTGAGGAATGGTTCAAGTCTTCGCCAAATCTACTAAAAGATTTCAGAGGAAAAGAGAAAAACTGGATGAGAAACAAGCGCATGAAAGAAGTAAGGAGAGCTGTTGAAAGTTCGGAGATATGGTGAAGAGTAAGGAGTAAAGTATTGGAGTATTTATAGGGGCCAATATTGCGCTGAGCCGTGCGAACGTGACTTTTGAACATCCCTTTTTGTCACATCAACCGCTCGCGTGACGTAACCGACATAATGGTGGAGGCATTGAAGAGTTGGAGAATTCAAATCGTTCCTTGTTATTTCATTCCAAGGAACGCGGGGACTATCTGTATACGGCCAAAATCGGAGAGTTCGACTTTGGGGCTACTATGGCACTCCACGCCCGACTTCGAGGAGCTCGAAGTGGGATTTGAAGGCAGACCCCGAGGTGCTTCCCTCGAGGGGGTATATGGAAGGTCAATCTCGGAGCAGCTCAAGTCGGTGATCGTCATGGAAAGGCGGGAAACCCCCGAGGGCACGCGATGAGGACTGACAGAGTCTGCAAAAATAGTACAATCCGTACTGAGCCGTTATACAGCTGTACTAGTAGCATTTCTTCGTCAATACTGTGTTGGGATTCGCCCCTCCTATATAAAGGGGACCCTTGTCATTTTGTAAGGACACGATACATTGATGTACAATACAACATTCTCTGCTCTTGCTTAAACAATTATTCTATACATTTATTGCTTATTCTCTCATCGTTCATTTATTGTTCATTCATTGTTCTTCATTTATTGCTCATTATTAACCGTAAAAGGCCACCTTTGAGGCTTCATTTTAGTGTTTCTTCATCAATAAGCTCATTACCAACTGCCCTAAGCAAGCCTCGAAGCCCCTACTACGACCAGCTCGAGGCTCGATTTTGTGACAACTTTGGTTTGCTTTCCTTATTCTCTTTATTTACACTTAGCATCTATTGCCTAACAACTAGTATAAAAATAAATTACGTATTTTTATAACCGCAAAATCAAATATAATTGTCATTACCATTTTCAAGATAAACAGTTCCAAAATTGACAAAAGCAGAGATTGTTAAAGCTAGCTTGCCAAAGTTATACTTCTGGCCTCAAATGAAAAAGATTCAACTCATAAGAAATATAAAGTAAGAACAGATCCAGTATTCAGTGTCTTCTTGCTTCGTGTCGGAAACGAAGAGCATCCAATAAAAAAAGATTTGGTTCTTCTTGAACACTTGGTTATCAATCCCAATGGTAATAGTGGTGCATTTAATAAGACAAATATTTCTATCATTAGATTAAAACGCAATTTGTACAAATCGCATGATATGATTAAAAAGATATCTTAGCTAGCAGAAATGAATATGTTGATCAACTAAATAAAAGGTCGATTGCAAAATTTTATATAAAACAAACTATTTTCTTGTTTCTGACTCAGCAGAAAATGATACCAATAATTACTACTAAGAATAATACTTAAATACTTTGATACCTATTGGCCTTCTGCCATACATGTTTGTTGTCAAGTTTATTATTTATTTCATATCTTAGTGTCACTGTATATATAATAGACTAAGTTAGAATTGATCTTCCATTGTATATATGTTGATTTTGAAGAAAAATATGCCCGTCGTGCTACTGAAAAACTTAGATACGTCGAATAACTTTTGTAATAGCACACAGATAGTATATAGAAGTTTTGACAATAACGTCTTACATGCAAAAATTATGATACTGGTCAATGTGCTTCTAAGTATATTCTTATCCCTAAATTCAACTTTCGTTTTTCGAAATTAAGGAATATCTGATTTAATTTGCGTGGAAATAATTTTTAGTATGTTTATGTTTTGCAAATATAATAAATAAAGCACAAGGACAAACATACTAAATATTGGACTATATTTATCGCATTATATGTTCTTGTACGAACAACTGTATATTGTACTTTCAAGAGGGATATCAAGATCGACAACAAAAGTTTTAGTTAAGGCATAACAACCAAAGCATTAAAAGGAAACATACACAAAAAAATATTGTCCACACAGAACTGTTCGTTAAGACACCATCACAATAAATACTTTTAAACTATAATACATAATTATCTAACTAATATGACAAAATTGATTATTTGTGTAAGTTTTGATGATATCATTTTATTTTAAATTCATGTATATGCTAATGTAATAATAAATTTCGGCATTTACTGATTGTTGTATTATTATACATAAAATTTCTCTCATTAATTAAATTTTATTGTTCCTTCATATGAATAAATATTTAAATCATTCGTGCTATAAATAAATAAGTAAATTAAAAAAAATGAGAAGATCAAAAATGAGAATTTTTAATGTTTGAAAGGTTTTTGAGAACCACAGTACGGTAATTAATTTTCAACCAATGACAAACCTACAAAGTCCTTATAACCTAGAGATTATAATTCATGGACCTAAAACTCTTTTATAAAAATCTTAAAAATTAGATAAATAGATGTATAGGAACTTTAAACAATGAGCCTCGGGAAGCTGAAAGTTTTTTAAGAATTAGAGATTATAATTTCATGAACATATGTTTTCCTTTGATATATTAAGAAAAAAAGAAAAATCAGAGAACCGCTACAATATTCTAACCCACTTCGATTTGGCGCCTAATTCCACCGTCCGAAGCGCCGGTGTTCGCTTTTGCAGGTTCGGTTCTTCTCTGAGCCCTTTTCTGGGGTTTCCCATGGAATTTCTGTTTTTATTGTTTGAGAGCTGGGTTTGATTTTGGTTTAAACTTTTTTTTTTTTTTTTTTGTGGTGAAAAGATAGCACAATAGAGACTCAGATATGGAGCCTACTGAGAGTGTGTGCGCGATTTCTGGACAAACAGTTGAAGTTAGAAATAGAAAGACGATAAATGATGAGAAATTGGGGATGGCCTTCTCGTTGAATCAATCATGTGATGGATTTTCAAATACAACAGCAAAAAAGAGGAGGAAAGGGAGAAGAAAAAAGAATAGGGCTCTGAGCTGTGATAATAATGTTTCTACTGAAGCAAAAATCAGTAATGATGATATGCAGGATGTATGTATGGATGGGGAGCATAATAATAATGGGAAAAAGAGGAGGAAAGCGAGAAGAAAAAGGAATAGGGCTCTGAGTTGTGATAATTATGTTTCTACTGAAGCAAAACCCAGTAATGATAATATGCAGGATGTATGTATCTATGGTATCAGTAATGATGTTATGCAGGATATATGTATGGATATGGAGCAGAATAATAAAGGAAAAAAGAGGAGAAAAATGAAAAGGAAGAAGCAGAGAGAGAATTATTGTGACATTAAGGGGCCTGAAGAGGAAGCTAAGATGGCAAGCTGTTCTCCACATTTCAAGAATGTGCCTGACTGTGAGGAGAATGTAAGTAGTAAATCCGTCAAAGCTACGTCTGATTTGTATATCAAGAGTGAGGGCTTAGCTACTTTGGAAATGGATCAGAGGAGTAATAAAAGGAAGAGATCGACAAATGCTAAACGTGCTGATGATGAGAAAGGGCCTGACTGTGAGGAGAATAAATCCGTTGAAGCTATTAATTCTGATTTGTGCGTGAAGCCTATAAAGACTGAGTGTGTGGATGTTACTTTGGAAATGCATCGGAAGAGTAACAAAAGGAAGAAAAAGAGAAATGTTAAACGTGGTATCTCTGATGCGAAAGCAGGAAGCGAACTTGGTTCTACTTATGAAACAGATGCAAATCCAGATGAGAGGGAAATGGATGTGAACCCCGTCCTGAATGGTCCTCCTAATACCAACTGGGAAGAGATGACAAGCAAAGATATTAATGAGAAGGATATTAAACAATCTGGTGATTTGGATGAGGGATGTATTACTGTTGCTTTGTTGCCTGTAAATCGTGGTGATAATGTTGTAGCTAATAGTATTGATGATCTCTTTTCGCAGTTTGCATACAAAGGTGGAAACTTTAGTTCTGTTAAAACGAGAACTAAAGATGACAAGAATGCCCTTGAGTCACAAGTTTGTAGTCCTTTCTCTCATAGGATGAAAACAATCCAAAAGGCTTCGATATCTGGCTCTATGACTGGAACTGAGTGTCATTTGTCACTTCTTGGGAAAGAAGGTAGCGTACCCTGCATATCTCAGAATCTGATGGATGAAACAATGACTGAGACAAAAAGAGTTTGTGTTTCAAATTGTGACAAGGTAAATGATGTTTGTGTTGAACAGAAAGTACGAGTTGTTTCCCCCTACTTTGTGAGCTCAGAGAACATAGAAACTGAAATAAAGAAAGGAAGGTCCCTAAAACGTGTGACGAAAAGAAATGGAAAACGTAACAAAAAGTCAGAAGCCAAAGTTCGAGTTATTTCCCCCTACTTTGTTAACTCAGAAGTGGGAGAAGAAATAAAGGTAGGGAAGGACAGACCAAACTCGCCTTCAAAGAGCTGCATCACTGGAAAAAAGGTTTCTCCCTACTTTCTTAATGCACATCGTAAAAAAGCGAATGCAGTGATCAGCATGGTAGGAGGTGGAACAGACTCAAAAAACCCAAAACCTTGTCTCTCGGAGAATGGAGAAACTGAAATGAAGAAAGGAAAGACTCTAAAACGTGTGAGGGAAAAAGATGAAAAAACTGACAAAAAATCACAAGCCAAAGTTCGAGTGGTTTCACCTTACTTTGCTAACTCAGAAGTAGGAGAAGAAATAAAGGTAGGGAAGGATGGACCAAACTCACCCTCAAAGAAGTGCGTCACTGGGAGAAAGATTTCTCCGTACTTCCATAATGCACATTGTGAAAAAGAGAATGCAGTGATCAGCACGGTAGGAGGTGGAACAGACTCAAAAAAGCGGAAAAATTATCTCTCTGCTGCTCAGAAGAGAGACAAGGCCTATTTAAGGAGGACTGAAGATAACACATGGGTACCTCCCCGATCCCATTTTAGTCTCCTGCAAGAAGACCATGCTCATGATCCTTGGAGGGTGTTGGTTATCTGTATGCTTCTAAATTGCACCACTGGCTTGCAGGTAATTGTAGCCACTGTTCCCTTACTGAATCATTCCTAAGTAGACAGCAAACTTATGATTGTTCGTAAATAAAGTTGTCATGAAGTAGGGAGGTAAAATATTTGCATTGTCTTGTTCACATTGTAGGAATTGATTGAATTCTATGTGGTATAACATTTATTTGGCTATTATGGTATGAAAGATGATGAGCTGAAATATAAGTCATTGCTGATTCTTGAGATGTTTGGTTATCTGGCTAGATAAAGTTTCCTGTATATTAAGTTACGGAACGTGCTTGGTCTTTTATGGCATTGTTGTGCTCATAAGCCATGTTAGCACGTGTTATTCTTCATAATTACATAGATACAATGAAAGCAGCATCCGGTGGACAATTAGGAAGCAAACAATTTTTAGACCTAAAAAGGATATTTTAGGCAGATTTCCATTCTCGAAAAGGGGATGTATACAGGGGCGGAGGCAGAGTGCGGGATGCGGGTTCGGCCGAACCCAATAGCTTTTGTTCAAACCATGTATTTGTCTTAAGAAATCCATTGAATATGGATAACTTATTAATTTAGAACCCAATAACTTAAAAAAAGATTACAACCCCGAACCCATAAGATTCAAATCCTAGCTTCGCCTCTGGATATATAGGCAGTTTATTAATAAAATTATTGTGTCATAATATCAGCTACTTGACAAATGTAAATGCTTCTGATGTTCTGAATGCCTTTCCATGAGTGAACTACCATCCCAACAACATAATGGAACAGAGGCAAGGATAGGCCCAAGCATCAAAACTGAAGTATCATTGGGATCTTTTATTGTTTTACATTAGTTTAAAAGTCCTATTTAATGAATAATGTGTAAGTTAAATACTTTGTCCTATTCAATTTATTTATAGTGAAAAAGCATTAAATATCATGACAAAGTTTGTCACTCCTTCCGTCCCAATTTACGTGGCACAATTTGTCATATTTGTGTGACTATAAATCATCTCATTAAAGGTAAAATTGAGTTTTTAAAGTTAAATTGTTTTTAAATATAGAAAAGTGACATCCTTTTTGGGATAGACTAAAAAGGAAGAATGCTACATAAATTGGGACAGAGGGAGTATTTCATTACCCGCACATAATATGGAGCATGTCCTCCTTGATGAACATTGTCAAACGTGCTTTGCCCTGTCCGGCGAAATTTGAAATTTATTTCATGATCAAAGATTGTTTAAACCTCACTAAATTAGGCAATTTTGTATGGGGCAGCCAATAGACACTTAGCTGTGCTGAAAGGTAGCTTAGATGTGCTGAAAGGTAGCTTACTGTTTAGAACATGAGCATGATCCACGTTACCACTTGCTGACAGGGAAAGCAAGAGAAAGTTTCTCTCTTTGATATCACTTTTGCTCATTTTTCAATCATTTTACAGCACCCACACCCTCAAACTCATATTGTTTGTTAAATCCTTGTTCAACACTTGGGGTCATACTTCTTTTTAGGGTTTAATAAGGATGAAAAGTAGCTATCGTCAAACCCATCTTGACGAGAAGATGCTTGGCCTACTAAGATGTGGACGTAGAATAGATGAGGACTGGGTTGTACCTATCTACTAAAATGTACACCATAAAAACAACAAAAATATGAGCATTATTGAAAGCTTTAGGAAAGAAGGTAGGATTACCTTAGCATCCCCTTTTTTTCTGCACTTTGATTGCTTGTTGACTAGAAGTGAACCTCATAAACACTCCTAAAGAAGTATGAGAGCCATATAGTTATTTGAGTCTTAAATTTGATGTAATAACTTTGTTCCCCGAAGTCTCAATGTTCTGCTTATAAGTATACTGAATATTATTTGAAAGAATGTTTGAGTTCCATATGCTTCAGCTTCCCATATATGTTTGTTGGATATGGATTCCTACTAACACTTGCCTACAATGCAAATAGGTTCGCAGAGTCTTATCGGAGCTTTTCACTCTCTGCCCAAATGCAATGGCTGCTACGGAGGTTGCTCCGGAGGATATTGAAAAGTTGATACAGCCTTTAGGAATATATAGGAAGAGAACACGGATGATTCAACGACTCTCTCAAGAATATTTGGGAGAAGGTTGGACTCATGTGACGCAGCTGCATGGTATTGGCAAGTAAGGGAATATGTACAATGAGCTTTGCACTGTAGCACACTACATATGGATTTTAACTCGTCATCACAATTACCTAGAGAAACTGACTTGACAACTCTTTTGTTTTTCTTAACTTTTCAGGTATGCAGCTGATGCATATGCAATATTTTGTACGGGCAAGTGGGATCAAGTAACTCCAGATGATCATATGCTAAATAAATACTGGGATTTCCTCCATGAACTTTACGGATATGGCTCTGCCTGAGGGTATTAATGAACTATAAGTTAATAGCAAAAAGCCCGATATAGTTATGGACAGTAGGTCGCAGTAGTAGGTGTGGCACATTTTGGGGGTCAGTTACATCTTTTTGGTAGATGAACCTCTTGAATTTTTACTCCTATATTAGATGACAAAGGGTGGGACGGGCAATGTGGAGATTCTAATTTTTTAGATGTTGTTCAATGCGATTTTTGGGACCTCGTTTTTAAGTGACAAAAAAAACCCAGCCTACATTCTATTGAATGACTTTCTTGTGAGTTTTTCTTTCTCTTTCTTTGTTACTTCTAACCAAATCTTCAGTATGAAGTTTGATGAGCATGTGTCTTTTTTTTGTGTGTGAATATTTTCTTGGTTGAAAATGTGTAAGTTAATGTTAGGACCTGTTATTTCATGCAAATTCAGGAGTAAATTCTTGAAAGCATGTATTTGAATTATTGTTTAAACAAAATTGAATTACTGTGTACTCTAAACCAATACCATTATGAACTCTGCGCGAATTAGCAATGTGATTGAAAAATAGTTTAAGATGATATTAGTCAAGCGGTAAGCTCCTTCTAGGATCGCAATTCTCAATGGATCCAATGCGCTAAATGCTCCCAATTCTTCGATTGTCTGTTTCTTACCTCCAGACATTGGTTTGTTTCTGCTGCAATTTTCATATTAGTGTTTTTTTTCTGAATTGGTGTTACTCTTTTCAGGATGTCTAATCACTAATTAGTACCCAATTGTATTTCTAGGTTAATAATATTTTTCTTGAATTGGTTGAAAATGTGCTTTAGTTATTTGGGGGTCTGTTTTTCTGATACAAGGAATGAATCTCCAACCCAAACGAACCTGTTCTAGTTCAGTATTCAGATTGTGAAGCTGTACTGGATTTAGAAGTACAAACCTGATATTGTGCTTGTGTTAGCAAGCTCACATAAAGTAACAGTAGATTATAATTTTATCTGGCTTCTCATACTGTTGTTTTCTGGATAATTAGTGAACCTATGATTCTGTCTATTAGGCATGGTATCAATTATTAAGTGGGAAGGACCTTTTCTACGTGGTTCTGATATGGTCACTCTTTATGATTTGCTACAAGAAGGTATGGTCAGTTTAGCTTTTGCATTGTAAGTTAATCGGTAAATTTATCAGCCATATTGCCAGTGATACTGCGTTTGCAGTAGATTTTTCTAATAGTTGGAAGAACTTCTCATTCTTCTGAACAATTAATGTTGGTATATATTGTTTCATGAGCCTATTGTTTATATGAAATGCATCAACTAACCTACTTGAGTAGATTATTAGATATTCGTTTTCGGAGCATATCAACTTTTATTGACACAGAGTGTCAGTAGCCTGGTTGCCTATCTTTTGATAGTGAACCAACTTATTCAGATTTGATGATTCACGTTGTATGGGTCAGAATCCGACCCCACGACAATTAACGAGGCTAATCCCGTTTTAAGTTAATTCATGATTAATTAGTGGCACGACCACTCAGAATTGACGACGTTCAACCCGCCTCTGGCTCGGTCAACAAGGCCCTGGCCTATCCGCCACTATAGAGGCGAGATCTCAACGTGGTCACGGCCACTTATTACCAACTCACGAAGCCCGCAGCTATAAATACCAAGAGAGGGGATCCTAGAAAAAGGGGGGCTGTTTTCTTCGCTACTATAGACAGGAGAGAGAAGGGAAAAATATACCCATCCTATGGGAAGAGAAAAACACCATTGTAAGGCTCTGAACCTCTTCATGGAGAAGCAGACCAAACAAATATTGTCAATAAAGGCTTTTAATGTTTCTCCCCCTAATTCTGAGTACTTATTTTCGTTTCTTCCACTTGGTCCAATGGATTATTACGATTTGCTATGATTTTCCCGTGATTATTTGTATTGTTTTGCACTCATAAGATATGTGATAACTTTTGAGCAAACACACATCTTGTTTTAGAGCATGTGGTAGATCTATACATAGGTGATAATTGGTGTATCTTCGGGCAGATCTGTGATTTGACTCTACCAATCTCCCTTCGCTCCCATCATGGAATTAGATAATGGCCGAATAGCCTAGTAGACCCCTATACTTATTCCGGTATGACATTCCGGTCCCCGTACTTCACTTGTTTTCATTAAGACGCTTCTATTTGCTCAAAACTATTATCTTACACCCCTCTCCCCCGCGTGTTCTTCAAATGCGCTGATATGGATGACACATCCGTATCCATGTCAGATTTTCTATGACATGTCATTTCTTTTCTTCAAATTTTTTAATTCTCGTTTTCCTTTTTCACTCGAGGATTAGCACACACACCATGTATGCAAAGAAAATTTACTCTCATGCATGCATCACTTTCTACCATTTTCAGATTCTCCATTCCTTTTCTACAATTTTGAACTCTCCACCCAGTTTTAACCACCGAAACACAACCTCCACGGCATGGATAAAAACCCAAACAGTTATGATCAACAGATCCACCCACAGCAATTGTAAACAACAACAAATCCAGAATTATCATTTTTAAGATCCCTATTCTTCTGCAAACAGAGAAACAAATCAGAAATCTTGAGTATAAAAACACCAATTACACAAGAATAAAAGAAATTGCTTGGAAAGAGAAATACAATATAGAGAAAAAAGTGAAGTGAAAAAAATAACTTACTGAGAATCAAGAATTAGTTTTGAGAAGTGGGTATAATTCAAATTTATTTTATTTTATGTGATTTATGGGTCTGATTTGGGAGGAAAATGGTATAGACAATTGGAGGTATAAGCGAGAAGATGCTGGAAGTGATGGTAGAAGAGGAAAAGGAGGCGACGACGTCAAAGATGGTGGTGGAAGGAAGCGACGGCTAACGTATGGACATGACTGGTTTTGAAGAAGAATGGGTCTTCAAGTGTGGGTTTGAAGATAAATTGGGTGTTTGTTGTTTTACTTTATACTTTGCTATTATTTTATATGTTTTTTATTTCAATTTTTTCTTCTAAAAATTAGAATCACAAATTCACGCTTTTTTTGCACGAGTGTACCGAACATTTTATTCACCTCAGCTTTATCTATGCCACATAAGCAAGGTCAACAGTCAGAGGGGTTTAAGATAATAGTTTTGAACACGTAGAAGTGTCTGAATGAAAATAAGTGAAGCAGGAGGACCGGGATATCAAACCGGAACAAGTACAAGGGTTTACTAGACTATTCGGCCATTAGATAATAGGAATATCAAGTTTGTAGAATTTATGATACTTGTAATTCGAAAGAGCTTGATTTAAGAGTAAACAAAAAATAGTTGTAAGAATGTTAGCAGGAAGAGATCTATGTGCATAGCATATCATATTAGTCTCTACCACAAAATCATTCAACTTCTCAGCTGAAAAAGATATAATCTCTTCTTGGTTTTTGTGTATTTGGCAACTATATATAAGGAAACTAGGATATCCCTAATTGTGTCCTTGAGGAGCTTTTATGTCAAGAAGAAACACATACCTATCACTTTAGAAGTATGTAACGATCCAGCCGGTCGTTTTGAGAGTTTTAGCCCGATCCCCTATTAACTGTTTCTCCTGTACTTGTTTCTGCTATTGTGACTTGCCGGGAGGTTTCGTTTTGGTTTTGGGAGTGTTTTGGGACACTTAGTCCCTAAACGGAGGCTTAAGTCTTAGGACTTGAACTGTAGTCGGAGTTGTGTGAAGACGACTTCGGAATGGAGTTCCGTCGATTCTGTTAGCTCCGTTGGGTGATTTTGGGCTTAGGGGCGTGTCCGGATTGTATTGTGGAGGTCTGTAGCTTATTCAGGCTTGAAATGGCGAAAGTTAAATTTTTGAAGATTTTGACCGGTAGTGAACTTTTTGATATTGAGGTCGGATTCCGACTCCGGAAGTTGGAGTAGGTCCGTAATGTTGAATATGACCTGTGTGCAAAATTTGAGGTCATTCGGACGTGATTTGATAAGTTTCGGCATCAGTTGTGGAAATTTGAAGTTTCAAGTTCTTTAAGTTTGAATTGGAGGGTGATTTGTGACTTTTTGCGTTGTTTGATGTGATTTGAGGGGTCGACTAAGTTCGTATGATGTTTTAGGACTTATTGGTATGTTTAGTTGAGGTCCCGGGGGCCTCGGGTTGATTTCGGATGGTTGACGGATCATTTTTGGACTTTGGGAGTTGGCAGATTTCTGGTGTTTTGTTGCAGACCTCTTCTTCATCGCGTTCGCGAGAGAGGTCTCGCATTCGCGTAAGGCAACTGGGGAGGACAACTGAGTTGTTCTTCGCGTTCGCGATGTGGCTCCCGCGTTCGCGAAGATGTGGGACCTTAAGCCTACGCGTTCGCGAAGAAGGGAACACCTGGGCAGATTTAAAAGTTCAAAATCGAGGGTTTATGTCATTTTTCACCATTTGAACTTGGGAGCTCGGAATTAGGCGATTTTTGGAGGGATTTTCACGTGGGTGTTTGGGGTAAGTGATTCCTACCTAGTTTTGGTTGATTCCAATGATTATATATTTAATTTCATCATTAAATTAGTGATTTGGGGTGGAAAATTTGGGAAAATTTGAGAAAAGTTCTTAGGCCGAATTTTGGGGTTTTGATCGAGATTTTGGTATCGGATTTGAGTAAATTTGGTATGGTTAGACTTGTGAGTGAATGTGTGTTCATAATTTGTGACTTTTACCCGATTTCGAGACGTGGGTCCGGGGAGGCTTTTTGAACGATTTTCCAATTTGTTGCTTTAACTTTGATTTCATTAGCTAGATTAGTTTCTTGTAGTTATATTTATGTTATGTAATTGGTTTTGGCTAGATTTGGGCCATTCGGAGTCGGATATTTGTGGATAGAGCATTGTTGCGGATTGATTTGAGCTTGGTTTGAGGTAAGTCGCTTGCCTAACCTTGTGTGGGCGAACTCCCCTTAGGATTTGGTACTGTTTTGATATGTGAGCGTCGTGTACGTGAGGTGACGAGTACGTACACGGGCTAATTGTTGTAGAAACCCGAGTTTTGCTAAGTAATAACCTGTTTTCCTTCTTATTTGAGTTATATCAGCATGCGTAGTATCCTGTTAGCTTAGAATAGCATGTCTACTTGCCTTAATTGTTTATTTGAACTCTGTGCAGCGCGCTTAGTGAATTTCCTGTTTTTCCTTGACTTGAACTTAGTCTGAACTGTAGGCTTTCTAGCTGTAACTGTTATTTCCGTTGGTTGAGCTGCATATTTACTTTGGGAATACGGAACGGTATTTCGGGAGATCCCATGTATTGCATATTTACTTTGGGACTATAAAACGGCATTTCG